AACTTCGAATGATATCTAAACATGCAAATCAAAATTCAAATAGAATCGATTACATGTCGCTTTAATTTATTAATGTTTCGATGGAAGATAATCTTAAGGGTACACTGTTGTTCTTCAACCGAAATTTAGACATGTCAAGATCACGTGTTTGTCAGTGTCAGTGGATGTTGGAAGTTGCTTGCCACCTGTAGGCAAAAATTCTAGTTCATCGATATTGTTCCAGTTCAAATTAAACATCTTCAATTCCTTGTAATGAAGTATGAACGTGGTTGTTTGAATTGTCTTTCCCGCACGTCGACTTGTGACGTTTAAAATAACTTCATCTTGAAAGGCACACGTCGCTTCAAATGATAAAATACAAAATGTACTTCGACAATCGCGCATAGTCATTGGTTGACAACCGAAATTGAATGCGACACATTTTTGACCTTGTTTAAAAACAGTGTCAAAACCAGTATTTGGATAACGTGTTTCGCCATGCTGTCGAGGCATAAAGGCACCATTACACCATTTAAAATCAGCATAATTAGAAGGAATAGGATGACACGAATCCAGATCGACATGTGGTCCGATCAAATCCTCGAAGGCAAGCATTCGCTTTATTGAAATATCGTTATGATCTGTAATAAATAATCACATAACATGTTTCGAATTCTCAACATACCTTTCAAAGCTTTGATTATTGTAGTTAATTCATCAATTTGACGTTGTTGCGATTGACATTGTTCATTGATATTTGTGATCTGTTGTTGTTGATCATTAATTAGTTGTTCGAGACGATTATTCTTAGCTTGAATGATTTCTAATACTGGACGCATTTGTTGATAAGAACATGATTGTAAGTGATCGTTTAATTGATCTCGTGGTCCGATCCAAGGGCATAAAATATCAGATGCCGAACAAGAAACATTTGTTTTTATACACACTTTGGAAACATGATCCGAAAACAAGCCACGTGGAATTTTATCAAGTTCACATGCCAAACACTTCACTAGATATCGATCAATTCGATTTGAAATAGTACGACTGGCCGGTTTCAAATCATTGTCTATCGATAATAAGTGACGACAAGTTGGGCATGATCTATTTTCACTAGTGTTCTTTTGTAACCATTGCTTGATACATAATCGACAGAAGGTATGATCACAGGGTGTACAGACCGGCTTTTCAAATGGTTCATTGCAAATTAAACATTTAAATTCATCGTCGATTGACGTTTCATCCATGTATACAAATCCATGTTGCTCAGTCATCTTAAATCATTTCACAATTTATTTAAAAAAAGAAGGAGGCATTGCGCGTTGACTCGAATGAAAATATTGAACACAAAAAGAAACTGAATACGCAATTGAATCAACTCTATATGTCAAATATATATACCTTATAGTTCTTTCACACTTTTGATAGTTAACGAATAGAGAGTAAGAAGCAAGAAAGTAAAGCACACACACATACCAGCACGCATTTTTATGTAATTTATTTTACTTGAGTTTTTTTTAGCGACGCATATTTACTCTCGATCATGTGCACAACTTGATTTGTTGTTCTTCATATTTTTTTTTCATTTCTTCTATTGCTTATCTATGTATTTATTATGAGAATAGGCGAGAGTGCATATTACCTACACGCTAATGTATCGTGAATTTCTTTCAATATTCAAAAGATATGCTGGTATTGACGGTGTTCGATATAACTGCAATACCAATTAGACAAAAATCAGATTCATTCTCATGGACTGAATTGTGGATGAAAAAGGCTTTTATCCCGACCTTTTGCCTTCCACATGGTGTGGATGTACTTTTGATCTTGACTCTAGTGTAATAACGATCGTGGCTCCTCGTAATACTACAACGAAATACCAAGACGACGATGTCACAATTGATGATCACTATTTTATCGAAAAATGTCCGGACAATAAAAATCATTACAGCAAGAATGAAAGCTGCGACATATCCTAGCAATATCTAATATAAGACTTTAGCCTATCCAAGCCTTGTGGCTCCGCCAGCTGTGGCTATTGGTTATAACTTTGCGTTAGTACTTTGCAATCTATGCAAAATTCAACATGTTATATTCACCGACGTGGAGTATAGGATAACTCACCGATATATAGAAGTAAATATTTTCCACAAATCATCGCGAAAAGCGCATTATTCAACCATAGGCGGTGAAGCAAAGTGAATTTATGGCATGCTTGAGAGAAGAAATAATGGTTATCTTCTAGAATTCCTCAATTTTTCACAGGAATCATTTAGCACTATCGTTAACAATGTTTTCCTTCATTTCTCGATAAACAAAACTTTTACGTTACAGTGTCGTACAGAATAAACTGAAATGGTTATCCGAACTTAACTGTTTTTCGATAAACACTTTGACTGCTTCAGCTTTGAAAGAACTATGATTCCAACAGACAAGGATTATCTAGCACACCTGAAAACGATCAAAAATGTAACTTTTTGAGTCTCTAGATATGTTACAGAGCTAAAAAGAATACGTTTTCGAGCGTTTGCACGCATTTTTGGCAATTCTCGTCTGCTTGAGAACTACTTGGCAAAGTTTTTGATTTGCTGTGCCACAAGCCGGATGCGATTCATTAAAACCTATGTACGAAAAAACTTTAAGTAAGATTTCTTAATTTACTGGATGTTGCGATGCTGTCAAACTTCCTGATGTCTAGTAAGAAACTAGTCAAACAAGGGTATGGGCGTAAGTGCGAGAAAGGAGAGAACTACACCCACACCCACACAGTTTAGGAACCTATTATTCGAAAATATTCAATAATTATAACTGGAGTTATAACCATTTTGACTTTTTGCCGATTTTCTCAACTTTTAACTTTTTAAAAATAAGTTTTAACTCTAACAGTGCATAGCATAGGTGTGCAAATTGTTGTTGTTGATTTAATCATTTGATAGTGTAACAGATTTTTTGTCATAAGGGTGTGTGGGTGTGGGTGTGGGTGGGTGTGGGTGTGGGTGGGTGTGGGTGTGGGTGTGGGTG